CTTCCTTTTGGCTCCTATCATGTGCGAATGAACACAGCCTGCAAAGGAGGCACTTGGGATTATGACTGGGGCCAGCAGGTAATGGACTCGTCAGGAGGCATTTAACCCATTCCCTCTGAAGTACCTCTGCTTCCAATCCCATACTTTCTCTCATTAGTCAGGGCTTGGCATCCGAAACGTATCATTGGGTATTGTTCTTCCTCTTCGATCAAGAATTTTTGTGCGATGCTGCTTTCCCTTCATCAGGTACTCAACTGCAATCTGGATATCGTCTTTCGTGTGGCGTCGTCTCCATACTGCGAAGTTCGGAATACCTTGGAACTTCAATTGTAGACTGTTTTTGCTTTCATTCTTAAGGTGGCAAAAAGAGTCGTGAAAGGAAGGCCTTTTTGAGACTCTTCTATCTGCTCCCGTGAGGACAACGTAGTACAAGGAAAGCGTGAAAGTTCTCTGGGGATTCCAGAAAACGAGCTCGCTCTCACCTTTCCCCCTTCCCGTCCCATCATTCATCGCACAAGCAAGGTGGTGATACGACAACGCCTTTTACTTATCCATTAAACTCAACTCATTCCCCTTTCAGGGACAACTTATGATGTGGATGGGGAAGGGCTGAAACACCAGACCGCGAGCTGATGCAGCCTGTTCGGGTTTGTTGTTGAAAACCATGCAGGAGCAGGAGACCTCCTTCTCCACTCCAAGGAATAAGGTCTGCGAAGAATTGATTCAAACTCGCCATGGCCATTCTGAAAGCATCCATAGAGGCGTTTCTCAGATTGTGTGTAGTTCATCCACTACTTTGATATGCTCAAGTTCGCCAAATCACTTCGGAATCTTCCACTCTCTTGCTGAGAGATGCAACAAATAATGCTAAATGCAAATTTATTGATCCGTATGATTCCAGGGGAGTAGGGCATTTTGCAGTTTTGCAAGCATCACTATAAATCCTTCTCGGCAGCAATTCGTGCCAGAAGATGGTGAAAGTACCGATTCCTCAACCTTTTTAGTTGAGCCATGAATTTTCTCCATCTGTCCGACCATCCTGGCACCTGGGAAATGTTATGCCCAAATATTATGCAGAATAAAAGGAAATGTCTTCATCCACGCCATCCCAATTCCCCAAATCCAAAGTTTCTCCATGCTTTCGTCAATCCTCAATAAGAAAGAGTACGTTTCGTTATATTTCCACTTGGATGCTATTTTTTACGCCTTATGCGTTGGATCCTATTACGCCAGGATGAAAAAAGACATATCATGAAATAATTTGTTGTGCTTCAATGAAAGACTGAAGTATGATATTTTTTCCTCGTTTTAGCTCTATCCGTAATAGACAGACTCATGAAAAGACTCCTTCACTCTTGGAGGTTTCTGACCTAGAGAGCTTTTTTACGCTTTTCATCCCATTCTTGACCTGAAGCATTCTGACATAAAGGCATAAAAGAACTGGTAGGAAATCAATTTGAATCAATTCCTACTTAAACTGGATTTGACAAAACTTTATTCACATTCCAGGAATGAATCGCTGCTGCCAGATATCGTCTTCATCACTGCCTAGGTTCCTGACTGTCCACACGGGCATCACCATTCACCACTGACGCTTCATCTTCTTCACAGTCGTTTTCCAATACCCACTTTGCATCAGTAGCATCCTCGCATGCCTCCCAGCCCCTTGTGTCAGTGCAATATCTACTTGCTTCCCAGCCCCTTGCACCAGCCCAATCTCCGCTTCCTTCCCCAGCCTCATCATCACCAATCCTCTGAATTTCGATGTCGGTAGGATCCATTAGAGTGGAACTCAGGCTATGCAAGAGAATGTTCCTCACCCTGTTGCAGCGATCCAGGCATCACGACGAGGACTATTGCACAGGGGTTGAAAGGCATTAGATAACTTTAAGTGCCTTTTCCTCCATCATGTTTTGAACTTGACCGGAAAAGGACATTTGGGGAACAGGAATTTTATATCTGAAACAAAATATAAACATGCTCATCGTGATATGAAGTCCCACTCTGACAATGAAAAGAGTTGGTTCGGAAAGTAAGAAACTCACGGATTGGGCATAGACTGAGTTGCAGACCGGAGGCGGATTCAACCGTGTGACACCAGGGCACAGCGGTTGCTGAAAATCGCTGGCATGAAGCTCGGAGAACTTTGAATTTCACGAGATTGGTTCCAGTCATTCTTCCGAGCCAAGGGATCAGCGTTGAAGAGGATTGGGAGGCCAAAAGAGGTCGGGAATGATTCATCTCGGGCGATTGGGATGGAGGCATCTCGGGTCGTCGAGACGGTGGGATTCGGGATGATGTGAAGCTAGCAGACCCTTAGAAAATAAACACCATTTCTGAGTTCAATTGTTATCACTCTGAGAGGGGTCTTGGTAACGAAGGCAGCACATTTTTAGCAACGATATCTTCACGTCTCCCTTCTGGACCTCTTCGCGAATGCTAGAGTCATCTATGGGTGAAAGAATCTCAGTGGCTCTTCTTGAATTATCCGATATTCCAAGACATAAAAATGCTGTTGGAATACCGAGAAGGTTGGTATTGTTCTCCCTGTTCTTGCAAGCATTCATGAGTGATCACTGCTTTCCCTTCATTGCATGGTTTTCTGCATTCTGGGATGTTACCGTTCTTGCGGAGCTGTCTAGATTCCGCGAAGTTCGGAAATACCCTGGAACTTCATTCGTCGACTACTTTCGTTTCTTTTCTTAAGGAGTCACGAAATGCAGGTCCTTTCAGACCATTTATATACCCCAGTGAAGACAGCGCAGCGCAAAGAATGCGTGAAGGATCTTTGTGGATTCGAGAAAAGGAGCTCACTTTCATCCATCCCCCCCTCTCCCACCATTCATCGCATAAGGAAGGTAAGCATACAAAAACACACTTTATCCGTTGGACTTAACTTTCTCCTCATTCCATAAGCAGTTGCTGTGAACGTTCAAACGTATTCCTTCAAGCATAGTCGGTTACACGTTCCTTCTGAAGGCTTAGAATCGATGATCAAGGAGAGGATTAGCGTCATATGATTTGCGAGTGCGGGTCCCCAAACTCTGAAAGAAGGTTTTCCCTGTCCACACCATCTCACTGCTTCTTGGAAGAATTGCAGGGAAGTGTGAATGTGAGTAGCACCCTCGTCTCCGGCAAGATATGCCATGAAAATGCCACGTCCTGTGAATACATCCATTTTCGCAACTTGCACAATAACGCGTGTAAGCCTCTTCAACCTCTTCGCACAACTAGCAGGCGGCACTTTCCATGGGACGGAAATATCCCTTGCGCCAACAATGTTTACTTCCATGGGGAAAGGTTTACAATGGAAAATCAGGAACTGTATACGGATGCTCAGTATTTCAAGTATTTCGGTATTTTTGTGATCGAGAAAACCGTTAAATACGCAGCAGTGAAAATAGGCGAATATTATTAAGGAACTCTATTTATATAAATAGTAATGAGGATGAGAGAAATGTATGTGCGGCTTCCTCCATTATGTTTTGAATTAGGATAGAAAACATATATTTCAGGACGCCTGAACTAGTTTCCGAGAAAGTTGATGTCATGAATATCCATGTAATTGTAAATCCCCTTGCATCGTATTTTAAACGTAAAAATCTGACGAAACTGGTATATTCTTCTGTCAGATAGCACACCGGAAGCGGAGACGGCCATGAGACACAAGTGGACGAAAGCAGCGAAGACGAGGGCACCGTCTTCTCCTGCTGAAACATGGCTGGAGAAATCATCGTTCAAACTCGTTAATGGAATGGCGGGAATTGGCGGAGGAGGTCTTGAGAGTGGAGTTAAAGTGGACGTAGGATCCGCCTATTTTTGCTCTTGATAAACGCTGTTGGATATGTACTGTCTTGCAGATTCCCCGAAACGATTTCATAGTGGGAGAGTGTCCGACCACGATGGATGGAGGGCTGGCACAAGGTTCCTGGTCTTTCTCTTCAAGTCGAATTTTCGAATACCTTACAACTGTGTCGTTGAATGGGGCAACTAAATTAGAGGAAGACGAGTTTTAAAAAAACGCACAATGCCAAATGGGAACGTTTTCGTCCTCCTCAGGTCTCGAGCAGCAGTCGAATAGGGACGAAACCTTGCAGTTTACCCAACGTTTGAATCGTCTTGCCTCATTCATGCCTTACAGTCTAGCCTGATTGAAATTGTGGTTGGGAATGATGGAAAATCACGACCAAAGTCGCCTGTGGAACACTGCCAGGTGTCAGGTGATGTTCTCACCGATATGTACCCCAGAAATTGCAACTTCAACCACTGTTACTATGGACCATATATTTTATTCCCTTGAGAAGCAGGTAAAACACAGGAAGATAAACTTGATTTGGAGATTGAAACGCATCGTTGCGACGGAAGCACATGTCTGGCACCGAAATCGAAAAATGACGGTTTAATTTGGCCAAGCAATCTTTTAAATGATACAAAGGCAAAAGCAAAGTTTATCTTTATATAATTTATCAAAAGGCGGAGAGGAAAGAGAATACGATTGGAATTAGAATTTTGGCAATCCGTTGAACAATAATTAGTAGCTTAGTGGTTGAAGCCTGAGTCTCGGGCGGCTGGGAATCTAGTGCGGCCGAAGGTGGTGTCGGGCTCATCTGCACAAACATACGCCTTGGGGAGACTGCCTCGCATCCACAATAGTATCTGTGACACGTACTGGACATACGGTTGCGGTACGCCTTAAAAGTCATGCCATTTTTTTCAGGCGTCAAATTTTTAGGTCCGAGTACCTATTTCCCAAAACTTTCACTTTTCCAAGGTTCCACTAGGGAAGCATCAGACACATCCAGAAGCAAATCTTCAGGAAACCCTCGCTAAGACCATTGCAGATGGAAATATCACAGTGATTATTCCAGGAAGTTTGTGACAGCGCACCCGCAAACAATTTGGATGGGCAGCTCTGAGAACGCATGCCTCACCAAGCCAGAACTTTCTGATACGGAAGAAGGAAAAGCTTTAGAAGGATTGAGAAGAAGGAATGACCTTCTTCACCAAATAGTGCACCGTTCCACTGGATTATAAGGAGTTCCAACGGAACAGTTGAAATCTCGGGCGAACTCTGGTATGTTCTGAAATACACCTCGCACCCAAGATTCCCCCGATGGCTGTGGAAAACTCATCTTGTATTTCAGCGCCTCCTTCTTGTACAAGGAGCACTGCACGTTCGCGGCCGAGATCCAGAAAATCTGCCTGGAATTCAGGTGCTGCAGGCACGCAATAAAAAAAAATTCGTAATACCACATTACAAATGACACCTAGAGGGGATGATTCTTAATCGAGAGATCGGTCACCTCCAGGCCGGGCATTGGTGACTCCTCGCCGTGTTCCTCGCTCCATTTCACGTAAGCCCGGTAGGCTGCCTTCAAACCTCCGCTATTAGCTATGCTTTCGCCTAGAGGGTTCTCGTCGTTCAGCTGCAAACGGTTGTCATATTCCAATTCAACAGCAGCAATCGATTTTCTGTCAAATGTGAATAATGTAAGCAGAAGCTAGACCGAAGAAGAAAGCAGAGGTATCCTGAATCATGAAACCACCTTTTTCACCTCTTCCACGTCAAGAAGATCAATATTCGGAACATTTACACTCGGGTCAGGACATACTTCAGTAGTATCAATAAAAGCAGAACCCGTAAGGTGTCGGGATAGGGAATAGTGAAATTCCTCTTAGGTGCCATCACACGCTACGATATTGTTTGTATGTGACTGCTCGGATGAATTTGCTATGAGTAGGTGATTAGAAACTATAGGGGAGCACGTGAGTTTTCAGGACAACGTTTGACGTTTGCCCAGTTTCTCTCCTGTAGTCGCCCTGTCGTCATGGACACTGATGCCAATATAAAATGGGAGCAAAAAAGATTTAGACATGCATTAATGATCCTATGGGCCTCTCGCAATAGCGTTCATACGAGAGATTCGAGGGGATAATTGGCTCGACGAATCATAGAACTTTACCTGAAAGACAGCCAGTCCGACGTCGGAAAGAGAGAATTCGCCATGCCCATCGATGATGCACTTGGCCTTTTCCTGGTATTTCCTCTCCGTTTCTGGCTCCCACCAGTCCCTCAAGTCACCGCACCAATCGTATAGCCGACCCTTTAAAAACACAATGGAAGGAAAGTGGAGTCGAATGGGTTAACGAGGCAGAGAAAGAAAAGAGGAAGAGCGGGTGCCTCACCTTATCGTGAAAAGCTCGAGCGATTTCGTGGCCGATCACGGAGCCGATACCTCCATAATTAAGGTACTTGGGACGGTCTGCCCCGTAAAAGATGCCCTGCAGAATCCCCGCCTCCACGACTAGCAAGACGACATAACAGAAAAATAGGAACGGTCTGTATCAATTTCTCGGGATGGAAAGACGGTGCTCTTGCCGTACTGAGGCAGCTTTTCCAAAAGGAATAGAAGGCATTGACGTCTCGTCCCGGGACTTAGGTCTACTCAGACAAGAAGAAGAGAAGGGCCTTCTCTGCCTTTACCATTAAAGAGCTTTTGTCTCTGTTCAAGTTATGCAAGACCATCTTCACCAGGCCACACTAAAGGTTGAGCGCAAAACAAGGGCAGGTTGTGTGATCGTAGTAATAATAAGAATAGTAATAATGACAACGATGAGATTAAGCTTCGTGAAATCGAAATCACTTTAATCAATTTCTATATGTTCTCAATATCAAAATTTTGATTTTTCTGTTCTGTTCTAACACCCAATAGTGTTAACATTTCGAGAAGAAATTCATCAGCGAAAGAAACTATACGACTTGGTTGATGCACTTAGAGATAGTAATATTCGAAAGAGTCAATAGTGACATTGTGACGAGGCGATTTTATCCGAGGGACTCAGGAAAGCCAATACCCAGCCTATCTTGGACTTGTGCAGTTGTTTTTCTGCACTTTAGAGCTTAATCCTTTCAGCATTTAATCATTGCGCTACTGATCCAACGATGAATTCATAGCTTGAGGAATGATTTCATTTCATGAAGCTGAAAGTTGAATACGTGCGGATTCGGGCGGAGAAACGTACGCCTTCGTGAATCGCTGTGAGTATTTTGTTATCGAGCAACCACTCAGGATAAGCGATTTCTGCCTTTATCTCCGCACTCTTCAGCTTCGCTCGACGCCTGAAGAGACAGCATCACCAGGAATCGGTCGAATAGGACCAATAAGATAGGTACAGTAAGGGATCGAGTGCCAAACCTGGTAGTGAAATCCATCCAGTCCACCTCATCCAAGATCGTGTCGAATTCGGCCTGGATGCGTTTGACCATCACGGTGACCTCCGGCTTCACCCTTTCGTCCATGAAGAAGGTCCTCACGTACATCGCGCCCAGCGCCAACGAGAAACTGCATCATGAGTCCCAAGAGGAAATCAAGAGGAGGTCGATTTTTTTTTAGCACCATGTTATTTGAGAACGGCATAACTGGTGAATTGTTGAAACTAGGAGCGGGGAATTAGGCGACAATCATGAGAACATATTAAGGATTGTTTGCTAAGTGAACATGTTCAATATGTCCAACTTCCTATACAGTAGAGTACCACAAGCGGAGGGCGTTATTGTGCACGACTACATGCAAGGTATCCTCGGAAATTTACGATATCACCCGGTTATTCCTTCCTTTTTTTATGCAATCNCTTTCGCCTAGAGGGTTCTCGTCGTTCAGCTGCAAACGGTTGTCATATTCCAATTCAACAGCAGCAATCGATTTTCTGTCAAATGTGAATAATGTAAGCAGAAGCTAGACCGAAGAAGAAAGCAGAGGTATCCTGAATCATGAAACCACCTTTTTCACCTCTTCCACGTCAAGAAGATCAATATTCGGAACATTTACACTCGGGTCAGGACATACTTCAGTAGTATCAATAAAAGCAGAACCCGTAAGGTGTCGGGATAGGGAATAGTGAAATTCCTCTTAGGTGCCATCACACGCTACGATATTGTTTGTATGTGACTGCTCGGGTGAATTTGCTATGAGTAGGTGATTAGAAACTATAGGGGAGCACGTGAGTTTTCAGGACAACGTTTGACGTTTGCCCAGTTTCTCTCCTGTAGTCGCCCTGTCGTCATGGACACTGATGCCAATATAAAATGGGAGCAAAAAAGGATTTAGACATGCATTAATGATCCTATGGGCCTCTCGCAATAGCGTTCACACGAGAGATTCGAGGGGATAATTGGCTCGACGAATCATAGAACTTTACCTGAAAGACAGCCAGTCCGACGTCGGAAAGAGAGAATTCGCCATGCCCATCGATGATGCACTTGGCCTTTTCCTGGTATTTCCTCTCCGTTTCTGGCTCCCACCAGTCCCTCAAGTCACCGCACCAATCGTATAGCCGACCCTTTAAAAACACAATGGAAGGAAAGTGGAGTCGAATGGGTTAACGAGGCAGAGAAAGAAAAGAGGAAGAGCGGGTGCCTCACCTTATCGTGAAAAGCTCGAGCGATTTCGTGGCCGATCACGGAGCCGATACCTCCATAATTAAGGTACTTGGGACGGTCTGCCCCGTAAAAGATGCCCTGCAGAATCCCCGCCTCCACGACTAGCAAGACGACATAACAGAAAAATAGGAACGGTCTGTATCAATTTCTCGGGATGGAAAGACGGTGCTCTTGCCGTACTGAGGCAGCTTTTCCAAAAGGAATAGAAGGCATTGACGTCTGCAGGGCCCTGAATCCAGATGAGTCTGTTCTTCTTCTCTTCCCGGAAGAGACGGAAATGGTAATTTCTCGAAAACAGAGACAAGTTCAATACGTTCTGGTAGAAGTGGTCCGGTGTGATTTCCAACTACGCAAAACAAGGGCAGATTGTGTGATCGTAGTAATAATAATAGTAATACTGACAACGATGAGATTAAGCTTCGCGAAATCGTAATCACTTTAATCAATTTCTATATGTTCTCAATATCAAAATTTTGATTTTTCTGTTCTGTTCTAACACCCAATAGTGTTAACATTTCGAGAAGAAATTCATCAACGAAAGAAACTATACGACTTGGTTGATGCACTTAGAGATAGTAATATTCGAAAGAGTCAATAGTGACATTGTGACGAGACGATTTTATCCGAGGGACTCAGGAAAGCCAATACCCAGCCTATCTTGAACTTGTGCAGTTGTTTTTCTTCACTTTAGAGCTTAATCCTTTCAGCATTTAATCATTGCTCTACTGATCCAACGATGAATCTAGATTCATAGCTTGAGGAATGATTTCATTTCATGAAGCTGAAAGTTGAGTACGTGCGGATTCGGGTGGAGAAACGTACGCCTTCGTGAATCGCTGTCAGTATTTTGTTATCGAGTAACCACTCAGGATAAGCGATTTCTGCCTTTATCTCCGCACTCTTCAGCTTCGCTCGACGCCTGAAGAGATAACATCACCAGGAATCGGTCGAATAGGAGCAATAAGATAGGTACAGTAAGGGATCGAGTGCCAAACCTGGTAGTGAAATCCATCCAGTCCACCTCATCCAAGATCGTGTCGAATTCGGCCTGGATGCGTTTGACCATCTCGGTGACCTCTGGCTTCACCCTTTCGTCCATGAAGAAGGTCCTCACGTACATCGCGCCCAGCGCCAACGAGAAACTGCATCATGAGTCCCAAGAGGAAATCAAGAGGAGGTCGATTTTTTTTTTAACACCATGTTATTTGAGAACGGCATAACTGGTGAATTGTTGAAACTAGGAGCGGGGAATTAGGCGACAATCATGAGAACATAAGGATTGTTTGCTAAGTGAACATGTTCAATATGTCCAACTTCCTATACAGTAGAGTACCACAAGCGGAGGGCGTTATTGTGCACGACTACATGCAAGGTATCCTCGGAAATTTACGATATCACCCGGTTATTCCTTCCTTTTTTTATGCAATCGTGAGTGGGTTATGTTCCATCACTCTACCCTTTAAACAGCCTCAAAATATATTGGCAGATGGAACGAGATGAGCAGATATCAGTGGCCAGGTCAACTTGTCCTGTATACTCTATCTCACTCCCAGTCACATCCAGAAGGACTTTTAGATCTTAGCTTACGAAGTACGATTGAGTACCTGGAGACGGTGTGCATGCATTCCAACCAGCGGGGGTTCCGTCCCTCTTTCCCCGTGAGTTTCGAGTAGAATTCTTCGCGGATGTTCTGGACATCTTCTGTGAGATACGCCGCCGAGAAGTCCACCATCCTCCAGATTGCGTAATTCGCTATCACCCTGAACGAATTTAAAAATATGGAATCGTTAATCGCTTCCACCTGCTTAGCCTTTCGATCGCAGTCCTCGTTAAGGGAATGACTGCAAAATCACGTTAAATTTCTTCGTATTACCCGATGAGAAGCTTCCGGAAGATTGGAATGTTGCCTTGCAAAATATATGTAGTTTTGGTTTACCTTTTTGGTGTTGCTTGAAGAGCAGCGACAAAGTTGTCGATGTAAGCGGGGTCATCGACGACCACGGTTTCCTCTGCTATCACTCGGTGGAAGGGGGACAGCATCTCGTTTATGTATTCCAGCCACGGAATACTGGGCCATCTCTCTTCCAATTCCGTGATTTTCATCTTCTTGTACTGCTTCATTCCATTCTGGCCACCCTCATCCTCAAGTGAGTACTGTAATTGCATAAAGGAGAAAAGTTTTTCTTTTCTGCGGATCCTGTTCCCATTTCACGGCCAAAATTCCACTTTTTTCATTATGTATAATATTCAAGAATGCTAAAGAATCAGTTATATTTCAAATTCCTGGGCATAATTTTTAGGAGCACCAAATCGGCGAGGGGTCCAAGTTCTCGCAAAGCGACAGACTCACTTTGCCCCAGATTCGTTGGAACGATTTCCTCTCTCAAGTCCCAGACGACTCCAAAATCGATTTTGGGGGCATTTTGTTCCGCAGTATATAATCTGTTCATGAAAGGACGCTTGTGGATTTTAGGATGAGGGAGCCGAAAATCTCACATTAGAGAAGAGGATTTCGAACTCCAGGACCTTGTGGAGTTCACTCTTCGCTCGTTCTTCTTCGGCGCCGAGGTGAACGGCCAACTTCACCATGTAGTCGTAGTAAGCTTGAACGATTTCGTCGTCCGGGCCTTTAATTAAGTATTCTCTGGGTAGAACATGTGTCGGCTGGTTAATCTGCTCCGAGAATAAGAGAGAAACGCATGGCGGTTGGATCTATGTCTATCAAAACGTTAGGGATTTGGGAAAAAGGACATACAAATCCATTAAAGTGATTATACGAGGGTCAGTCAACTGAAAACAGGACATTGCTTAAAATAGCCTTTTATTATATATGTTTGAAGGTGATGATTTCGTCATTTTTCTATATAATCCCCCTTCTTATCGATGCATTTTTGCCAACGTCCTACTAGAGCTCTGACGCCCGAGGCAAAAAGGATTTGGGTTGCCCCTTCAGCCATGAATGCACTGCCCCCTGCACCTCATTGTCAGACTGAAACTTTCGTCCGTGCAGCGCTTCCTTGAGAGGTCCAAAGAGGTGAAAATCACTATGGGTTGAGACCGGGCTGTATGGCGGATGCGGAAGAACTTCAAATCCGAGATCTGTAATGGTTTCTACAGTCCGTCGAGCAGTGTGGGGACGAGCATCGTCGTGGAGAAGAAGTACTCCTTTCTTGAGGAGACCACGACGTTTTGTTCGAACTGCAGGCTTCAGTTCATCTCGCAGCAGCTGTGAGTACGTGTCCCAGGCTAGTAACCCCGCGAGGTCGGTAGTGAGTCAAGAACGCCATTCATGTCCAAAAAAATGGTCAGCATCAATTTTCCGGCTGATGCGACGATCTTGCATTTCTTGGGGAGAGGAGAGGTCTTGTGCCTCCATTCCATTCTGGCTCGTTTGCTCTCTGGTGTGTGGTAGTGGACCCATGTCTCATCTCCTGTCACAATTCGTGAAAGGAAAGCATCTCCTTCAGCTTCGAAACGGCTCATTAGGGAAACCGCACTGGTTTCGCGCTGGCTCTTCATCTCTTCCGTCAGTAGACGGAAGAGATGAAGAAGATGGAGATGCGAAGAATCCATCTCGCAGACATTTCATTGAATCCCAGCATCTCGTGAACGATATGGTGGGTAGAGCCATGACTTATACCCAGGTTGGCAGCGATTTCATCTAGTGTCATTCGCCGATCCCGTTTCACAAGTTCCTCGCCGCGTGCTACGGTCTCCGACGTCACTACGCAGTGCGCTTGACCCGGGCGCGGAGCATCCTTCACATTTGTTATTCCACTTTGAAACTTCTGCACCCACTCGTAGACGTTGCTCCTTGCAATGCAGTGATCACCATACACAGCTTTGAGTCTCTGATGAATTTCATTACCGTTAATGCCTTCAGCAACAAGGAAACGGATCACAGAACATATCTCTTCCTTGGTGCAAACCAACACCTCGGAGGCCATGTTTGAAAGAATCTCATGCTGTAAAAAAGTGCAGACAGAGAAAAAAAGCTGTGCATGCCCCTAGGGAACATGCCGACAAAGAAAACGGCGCATGAAAAAATACGGTTGCGAAGATGTTTTGGAGAAAAAAAATCATGTCCTGTTTTCAGTCGACTGACCCTCGTAGTATTAAGAAAAAGTTCGAAGATGACGGAAATGATTATTGGAAAATCTCTTTGTTTCAGACTAGAGAACATTTTCTGTATTCAAAAACCTTCACGTGAAAAGACAAAAAGCACATGAGATAGAAGGGTATACGATGAAAGCTGAGATCATGAGGTCCAGGAGTAAAAAAGTTATTGAAGTCATGAATGCAAACCGATGCCTTTTTCAGAGCTGTTTACTCTGTTTTCAGCCCCTCTGGTTACAACTCCCAAATCCCCCCCCCTCCCACTTGTCATCTAACTTCCTAATCCTGTTTATCCGTAAGAACTTCTTAACCCCCATCCAAACTCCTTCAATCGTTTATTGATGAGCTACACTCAGATTGGCTTCCATGGTTACTTCATGGATAGGCTCCGCAGATTCGGTCAAGTTCTCTCGAACTCCCGCATGGAAAGACGGAAGTTGCTACTTTCTCAAGCATCTACTATTTCTGGTACTCGGAGGTTCACATTCAGAAATATATAGTTGGCTGGTTGAAGCATACATGTTATCTCCCTTTTCATCGTGACAGAAGGAAGTAAAGAACTTAAGGTGGGAAACCAAAAGAAAAAGAATCTGGGAACGCACATTCAGCATGTCGCAGAGGGGAGTCTCAGAGTCGAGTTTCACGGAGAAGTCCAAGAAGTAGTCGACGGGGAGTCCAATTTTCCGGTACTGGTACATGACCTTGTCCCAGGCGAAGTCGGAATCGTCCCATTCCAATCCTACGGACCATCCACCGACAATCTCCAGGACCTTCTTCAGGGCATCCAGCCCCAACCGGTTGATCCGATCTGTTCAATGGAACAATTGAGGCTACATGATGACCTACAATGACTTCTTATGGAAGGGATTATGTTCCGTTATTACTCCTGAAAGGAGACCGGAGTATGTTTTTCTTGAAGCCATGCACATGGAAACGCAAGATTAAGGTACTTACGGTTTATTACTTACTAGCTTAAGGTAGTCCAGGACCAATCTGAGTCAATGGCTCATATATGGCGTTGCCTTTAGTGGCTCTAATGGGACGCCTCATCACTTGCTGTTAATCGTATTTACATCTAGAATATGAGCGCATGAAAAAGCGGCATACCCATGTTCATGCAAGAAGCATACATGTTCTTGACCATATGGAAAGGTGGGGGCTCCCCATACTGGAAGGGCTTTTCCAAGACAGCCCGGAGCCTCCCTTTCAACTCGTGATCGATCTTCGTGAACTGATCCACAGAATACTCCCCATCCTGGATGACAGTGTTGTTAAGAAATCCTCCGCATGCATACCTGTAAAAATCGTAGCATGGCTCCTCCTGAAGGTCGATGTTGCTCAGGATCTCTTCCGCTGCAAATCACAACATGCACAGTAATCATACACATTTTGATCGAAACGATTTATACAAGATGTAAGGATTTCTCAGGCCCTATGGAATCACTGTCCTTCAATAGTGACTGAATTCCCAGTTTATATTTCTGCTCTCACAAGTCTTTTTCTTTGTCTGCTTCAAGTCCCTCTGAACTCTAATTTTTCTCTAATTCGTGAAACCTTATGTTTTGCCTTGCTCTTTACTATTCCGGTTGACTGTAAATACCATAAAGTAAGTCTTGAGTGACACGCCTGAATCAAATTCAATTAAACACGTAGGTCCATTTACGATGTGTCTGATGAGCAACTCCGTGGTTATACCGGCCTCTTATCTCGCTACTCTTGAACGTGTCTACCCTTGAAGCATATTTAGAAGAACAAAGTTCCCGATCGAGTAGGATACTGCCAACGTTGAGATTGGAAGTAAAATCATAAGTCTGTGTTTCAAGCTCCCATTCTGAAACTGTGAAAATCGAATATAAATATATTCAGACACGAGATATTTATCAGAAAGGAATATGTCGTATAAGTCTTTTTGAAGACCTTTCCCCCCAAATCTACAAGGAATATGCTAGGGTTATTCTTCAAAGAAACTACTCAACGTCGAAACTCTGCAATTCTCGTTGAAAAAAAGACTTCACTTTTGAATTAGTAGTTGGGCACATTTAGTATAATTGTCATTAATTATAATATTGTTGAGCATATTTATCAGTGTGGAAACAGAAACTTCAATTGATTAATGCATTTTCTGGATAACTTTTTCTTAGGCTCTCCAAGCAGATCTCGAATCCGGTGACCCTCCATTGCCATGAGTGAATTTCTTTTCTGCTTCTTGGAACATAGAATTGAATACGGTCCCGACACGAATAGGAGTAATTTCACTTCAGACTTACGTATTATCTTCCGCTATCTTTTACAAGAACGATTTTGAAAGAGGCCGACGCTAAGTAGATACGCCTTGCATGGGCAAACCAGAGACCAAAAATTTTTCCTCTCGATGGAGAATGACGAAAGAAATAGAGACCTGGAGTGGGCATGGGACAGTAGATGCCAGCGGAGACGAGGATCACGAGGACGATGGTTAAGCAACTGCCAAGCGCGGTCGCCGAATAGCATTCTTGTCTCGACCACTTGCACTTCCGCGGCTTGGATTCTCTGCAAAATTCCGGGGGTAAACGAAGGCCGTCAGTGACTGGGAATTTGAGGCAAGCATGGGTATTGGAAGGAAAGTGAATGTTTCAAGTGAAGCAGCGAAGGCTGTATTGTGGTGGTCGTCACTTATTGCGATCGGTTAGCGCCAGATCTAAAATTTTCACCATCTGCAGCTGGTGATTGGACAGAAGTCCACGAAACGAAGGCTGAGGGATTCCAAACTTTTTGGCTGCTTCTCCTGCTCAATATTTGCGAAGTCATCGCAGCGCTCATACTCATCCTGGCTCATTGTCGATGGGTACCTCTTCATCTTTCGAGATAATAGGGAAAATAAGTTTTTTTTTTTTTTGGGGGGGGGGGGAGGAGGAGGACCTTTGAGCTTTTGCAGTAAGGTGGAGAGGTTCAGGATACAAAGGCATTTCTCGGCACGAGCCAGTGTTGAATGGGACATTCGACAGGCTGAAGGAGCACAAATAAATAACTTAGGAAAAGGGATATCTCCAACATTTTATACAGTTGATGAATGCAGCCCGCCGAAAAGCCAATCCAACTCGATCCAATTAAAAAAAAAACGTTGTATTTGTCAGCTATCAGCGAACTGTTGCAGCCACCATACTTTTCCCTATAATTTCCTTGTGTACGAGTTCAGTTTGTCGTTGGCAAAATACACAAAATGGAAGAATGTTTTCCTCTTACCCTAACGATTCTTTCTTGAACATATCACATTCCATTCATAACATGTACAACAAAAACGTAGTTTATTAATGAAAAATGCTTTGGATAGTGATCCCAAATGAACAGAATATTAGTAATCGACTACTTGGTTCTTCTAGTTGATTTGGTTCATGAGTAGATACTATTCACGATACAATGTTGATTATGATGTGCTGCTGCTTTTTTGGAGATATACAATGCAGTCTCGTTCTAACTCGATTAGAAGGAACGAAACACTGACAGACTCGACTCTCTTGAGGCATTCATATTGGGATGAAATGTTGTTGTTCGACAAAACTACAACAATAGGCACTGCACATTCCTTGGAGCAACGATTACCAGATTGTTTCGCGATACATTGAAGGTTTATGAATATCCCGAGATGATCTCAGCGCGCTTGGTAACTCTGACAAATAAAAAGTTCGTGAAAATTGAATTGAAAAGACGAATCTACCCAAACACCGAAAGACTCCCAAATGTGATTCCACGGATGAGATAAAACCAACCAGCCAAGGGGTGAAATTTCGAATGACGGTGGCACAGTGTGTTACAAGCAGGTATCCATGCCGGGTCGAATGCATGAGTTTTGGGCTATAACGCCTGGGAGGATGCCAAGTCGAACTCAACCTCGTTCGTGAGATATGAGGTCTAAAAGGTCAAAATGATAGGTATTTTGAACTCCACCTAGGACAGGGAAGTTATTAATCGTTCACAATGAAATCTTCATTGAATATTCCGGAGATGTGGAGGTTTATTTTAAGCCTGTTATACCCCGTATCTCACGAACGGGGTCAAGTTTGAATTGGCATCCACCCAGACGTTATAGCCAAAGATTAATGTATTTGACCCAGTACGGATGTCTGTTTGTAACACTCAAAGCCACCGTCGATGATTTCTTAGCGTTTTTCGAGCCCTTGGCAAGTCGTCTAATAGTACGTTCACATCTCACTCTCATGCAGGTAAAATATGAATGTGAGAGAGAAACGAGGATATGGAAGACGCTTCTGTCTCATGTTTCACTAGACAACTTCACACGTACCCTACGAAGAAAGAATGATAACCTGGAAGCTTTTCTTCGCATGTCGAGTCGGGAACGTCGGAATGACGTGGTGGAGACCGAGATGCGTTCACGAAGGCCTCCAGGCGACTTGATGGCATGCCCCACAACCAAGATGGCAGTGGAGGAAGGTCCTGCACGTATTGCGACGCGATTCTGACGTCATTTTGATTAGAACCGTGTTCCGGATGCTGACAGCCAGCAGACGAGGAGCGTACATTCATGAAGAAAAGCTCGAGAATCCTGAGTGACCGGCTTTGCAATTTGTCACGTCAGTAAGAGGAATGAAAAAAAATCTGAAAGCTACAAAGCGGTCCTCCCGAATAAATCTTGAAAAGGGTCCTGAGTTTGGAAAAGCTAGCTGAGATTATGGCATCCATCATTTCAAGACAAGTCTAAAAATACTGTTTCAGTCATCATCTGATGCCCGATGAGGACTTGGACTTGGACTTTCCGTCAGCCCAAGTGGGTTTAACAGTGCTAATCTCGCTTCCTGTCATTGAAAAGAACCCTGTCCCCTCGGGGATCTCCTGTCAAGGGCAATGGGAATGATAACGAATAGTCGGACAAGCCTCATATTTTTTAAAATAGCTTTTTCATATATTGATTGCGAATAGTCCTTAATTCGTATTAGTCATGGCTTTTTCCTTTCGATGTGCTGCAAATAATAATAATGATAATTATTATTATTATGGAATTACAATATCATTGGACGACATGCTGATCAGCAATTGCAAAGCAAGATCGGAAATAATCTGATACCTGGTCGGGGTGAAGTAAAGGCCACGAGCCAAGCTGGATACCTTACTCGTGAACTAAATCAACTAGAAGAACCAAGTTGTCCATGACTAATTTTCTATGCATTTTGGATCAGGATCTAAACTATTTTTCATTAATAAGCTACATTTGTATTTCACCTATTATGAATGGAATGTGACATGTTCAAGAAAGATTTCGTTTGTGTAAGAGGAAAATATTCTTGCATTTTGTGTATTTTGCCTTTTAGTGAAGAGCTGGCTTGGCACGAGAGCCAATGTAATCCGTAACTCTTGTTTGGCTAGAAAGAGTATCTTTACATTCTATTGTATTTATATATTCAATTCACATTTCATGGTCGGATCCTGTTTTACCTTTTGCCTTGCAAGAAGTACCTGTTTTGTTTTTATTTGATAAATAACTTTTACTCGTGGAATCCCGTTCCCTGGAAATAATAACTTAGTACTTTTTGTACTTGGAGGGGGGTAGTAAATGGGAGGAATGCGAGGATACCTTTCAAACTCTCAGAACTCAAGCCAACAAGGCCTGTCCATGGAAGAGGAAGTTACACGGTGATATGGGAAGAAGAGTGAGGCGTTTCCGGACTCGATAAAAGCTATCAGTGGCGACTCGTGAGTCTTGCTAAGGCATGTCAGTCGGGGTAAGGGGAAGGGTCTCCACACAACCTTCCCCCCCCCCCCTCCTTTCCCATTGAAGGCCATATATCATTCATTCGTCCTTCTCTCTCATCAGTGAATCGTAGAAAATGAAGTCCGAAGATCGGTATAATTTTATTTTGCTGTACCTTTCTGCAAAATTTCAAGATCTGACGCGGGAATTCCTTTCTCCCCAAATTTCCATCTATTTTCATCAATTCTTGCTGAAGTAGAATTAAGTCCAAATGAATCAACGACGCTCATAACCCACATTGGACCAATATGAAACGTTGCCGTGCAACGTAACTTTCAGACGCTTAGAAGAGGTGTCGTATGGCCATCAATAAGTATAATGGCATGATTGTTCAGCTTCCTACGGGCGACTTTTCCGTCTGACCGAGAGTGCTACAGCGACTATTATCTCCCTTGATTGTCTTGTTAGGGCAGGGGTTCTTAAACGTTTTCTCCCTACGTACCCCTTGAAGCTCAATGCATCCACCACACACACTCCCCCCCACCCACACATACATTTCTGAAAACTAGGATTAGGGATATCAGGATATAGATATCCTATACTTTAATCCTATACTTTAATTCGAAGAGGTCAAAAGCTGCGGTGGTGGTGATCGTGGCCGTGGCTGTCACCCCTAACGCGCAGGCCTACGATGCAATCCCCTTCTGGATCATAGGCCATCCACGGCCTAAAGCGCCAGGCCTACAAGGCTGCGCCTTTCCAAGCCATTATATATACTTTAAATCAAAAAGCCTGAGAGTTGTCGTGGTGTCACCCCAGCGCGCGAGGCCTACGTGACTATGTCACTTCATGCCATAGGCCAGGCCATCCACCCCTCAATGCGCCAGATCCTTGAGGCTATGCTATTCTAGGCCATAGGCTTGGCCATCCAACGCTTTTAGCGCCAGGTCCATTGAGGTATATCAGTCAAAGCCGTAGGCTTCGTACTTACCTGTGTCAATCAAAGTCTTTTTCTTTATTTTTTTCCCGTTAGGTCAGGCGTGGCAGTTCGGGACATCGCTTCCATGCAATAGTTTTCTGTTTGCGTTTTATGTCATGGCCGATTTATTTGAGTTTTCATGATTGATGAAATCAAAATAATTACGTAAGTTCTTTGTTTCATACGTCGCGCAAACGGGCCGTTTCTCCAACAAATATTGTAGTGGTTTTTGCGTGTTTAATGGGAAATATCCACGGGCGAAACGCAGAGTGGTTCTCCTTGATTATAACGACATTACTTTTTTATATTAATAACGTCATCTCGTTGTTTATGTAGCTGTTCTAATTTTGTTCGCCTCACTTTCTTCTCTTGCACGGATTCATAAACCAGTCGGAATAGGAACTCGTTATCGAACCCCGTCTTCCCCTCGTGGACTTTTCAGGGTGAAAGTTTCCCTTTTAAGGCAGAATGGGAGTTGTCATTTATCCCTTTGACGATTTGCACTAAGATTAAAACCCAGGAAAACGTGTTCTTGCCCTGCAGAATCCTAAAGAGACGTTTCTATGAAGTTAGATTAGCTCTCTCTGCAAGCATCGATTTTAAGCCCGTGCCTATGCTGTAGCGTTCGATTCGACACTTGTTCGAAAGAGCATGTACATTTTAAATTCTAGACCGTAGTCGACGTGTATTTTTTTGTAACTGGGCATATCTTGGAAAATCCTCTCCATAGCATTTACTACCTCCTTATTCGACTTATCCTTGAGGGCAAACGTCCTGACGAATCGGGAGAAACCGTCTATCGGAAGTATTATGGACTTGAACCCCTCGTTTTCACCTGCCCACTTTTGCTTGTCGATGACATCTGCAGCAAGGATAAAGTGCAGTCCGCCAACTAGGAACTAGCGCCGAGCGAATTTTTCAGTCTTTCTGACAAACAACGCATATGATGTTTGAGATTTTAGAAATTCGGAAACATCCCGTCTTTTCAGAGATGTAATTTTTTTCCTGGGAAACGTGTATAGTCTCTTAGGGCTGGCGTATCCCAGCTAATTCCTGGCATGGGTAAAGTAGTAACGTAATCCCATATGCCTGATATGTTCTCAAATGCCCTGTTTCCCAATTTTTCCTGTGCATCGCTGGAAACAAACCTACTTTCATTGATCCAGTATTCTGG